TCAGTTCTGCTGTACCGTATGTGTGTAAACTGTCATCATGTCTGCAGTGGAAATGCAGGCAGGCAGGTGGGTCAGCAGGCAGATGGCCAAACAAACAGACAGATAATCGGTGGTGGGGATTGGATTAACACAAGGATCTAATTGCATTTGAGAAACCAGAGAAAGCACATAAAGAAAAATTAAAAGTGGCATCAAAATGATGGCTTAGTTACATAGCAACATTGCCACAAACAAGAGAACTTTACACGTTTCCTTTGAGGGTTATTACAGTAATTATGACTCATAATGTTAAGGAAACTAAATCTTTATGTATTAGCCCATGTCATGCCTTCCTGCAAGGAAAACTTTCACAAATAGGGAAAAAATGACAAAATAAAACTCAACAAAACGTCTAGAAAATCTCATAAAGTCTAGGGGCTGAGACTGCTGTCCAGGCCAAAAATACACGTCCCTGCATGAAAAATTCACTTTAACACCAAGACATTATTAAGTATTACTTATTCATAAGATGAACTTATTACACACACATTAGCTACTTTAAGGAATGAGAGGAACACCTCAACTAAAAAGCTGACTACAAGCTTAAAGCTGAACAATTTATCCATACATCTCATTAGATTACAGTATCACTGAGTGTAGGGTCTCGTCTCAGTGATACACAGATGTCTTGCATCTGCATTAGCAGCAGTGCTGTCAATCAAGAAGGCCAGTTTGCTGTCTGTCTGCAGCCTTTTATTCCGCCAAGCTCTCGCCAGCAACGAAACAGCCAGAACTGTCTTCTGTATTTCTTAAAAAATACAAGTCTTGTCCACAAGAGGTGCATCGGTATGTGGATCCTTGATCGATATAAATGTACCATAAATCAGTTGATGGTCCAATTCTAAAGTTATAAATCTGTTGACTGAAGCTTTGCTGCACACAGCAAACAGCGTCTCCACTCGTGAAAGGTCAACGTGAGGGTCTCATGACAAGAGCGATGACAGTAACGTTAGTGAATAAACAGACATGTCCGACAACACAGACGAGGAGTCTGTGGATGCTAATAGTGATGGGAATTACGGCTCTCGGGCTCACTAAAAAGAGCGCTCTTCAGCTCCAAGTGGCTCGTAGGTTTTTTGTTGCTTAATTAATTTTATACGCATATTATTGAAGATGGAATATTCTTAATAGTAAACAGCATTATGATAAATGTTTTTTAACACACACATACTAAATGATTGCTAAAATGCAAACAAAGTCACCCATCTCATTGAGCAAAAAGCTGCTCGATATGAAATTTTTACTTTGCACTGTTACACTCTGCCTTGAACTGTCTCACTAATATGTCCAACTTTTTCTAGTTTCCTGTCACTCCTTTTCCGTCACCCTTTCCGGTGTGCTGTCTCTGTCTTATGTAGCAAGTTCTTCTTTTCTTCCTTGGTTTTCTGCTGTTTGGCACGTTCCTCCCCCTGTTCACAATGTCACTGTGCCCTATGTGTCGTAACCCTCCTCACACCCCCCTCCTTGTCAGTGTAGATACACAGGACGCCGCACCTTTGATCCCTATCACGAGCTTAACAGGAAAAAACAGTATAAACAACAGGAAAAAATCCGGGATCTGGTTCCAATCAGGAGGCCGGCTTTCGTTGTTCACTTTTCCCCCCCAACCAGACAAGCGGTTCTTAGAGCCGGATCATTCGCAACCGACCCATCACTAGATGCTAACACAGCTAACACAAGCAAGAACACGCAAGATATTAAACACTTTCCAGCCTCCAGAAACTGGCCGAGGTTGAAGGTAATCGCTGCAGAAAGTCTTTTTTGTCTGCAATAAACACAATGACGTCTAATTCTGAAATTGGACATTTGATACGTATCGCATCATCTTAAAAAGGGTGAGATGCGCGACCTAATGATTTTATTATAGTGCGTGTATTTCTGCAAATGTATTAACTTCATCAAACTCTGTCCTCAGTGCTGGCAAGAACATTACAGTCCAACAGTAAAGGCCTCACAGATCCCTGTGCCTCTTCACCTGTTTATTCCACCATGTTACAACATTACATAATCATTGGTGTGCAATTATACTTGCGTTATACCTCTCCATACATTCACTGCCCCCCACCCCCACCCCCCTGTATCTGTGTGTGGACTGTAGTCGAACATTATGAGTGTTTATGTTGCTGTATTCTCCCCTGTAAAGCTGCTGATTCTGTGTTTCTGTGAAGCCTTGGAAATAATGCTGTGGTTTCCCTCCTGCCTCCTGCAGTGGAGCACCCTGAGCTGAGCGGTGGAGGCTGGGGGAGAGGTGGGTGGAGGGGGAGGTGGGAGCGGATATGTGGGGCTTTTGCTTTTAAGGAATGAGTCCTCTCACTCTCTCTCTCTCCCCCAGAGCAACTGGGGTGGAATAATTACATAGCATGTGCAAAATTGAACCCCACTCATTGTGAAAGGATAGAGAGAGAGAGAGAGAGAGAGAGAGAGATTGATGAAGAGAGAAATAAAGCAACAAAAAAAAAGGAAAAGATGGCCGCCAGTTCCTGTGGGCAGTTATCACATTATTTACAGCTGAGGATTTAATGCATCGTTCAGTAATGAGCAGCCAGCCAATGGCCTGTGATCTGGAGCTCACTTATTCACTCGCTGGGCTGAACTCCAGGCGGCTAAAGGCTGGAGGAGTCTGCCCAGATGGAAACAAAGTCTGCTCCCACTGCTGTTTTTCACTTTATTCTTTTGCACTGGAGTGGGATAAATCACGTGTGTGCCTGTGTGTGGATGTCTGGGTACGTTTTGAGAATTCACCACTTCATGTGTTGCCCTAAATCTGAAAGCTGGAAGGATTATTTTAATTGGTTCAGTCACCTGGCTGAGGTTTCTGTTATTGTTTGACATCCTATAGTGGAGTGGTTCTCAACCTGGGGGTCAGAACCCCCACTAGGGGTCACCAAAACTTAACAGGGGTTTGCGAGGCCTTCTTGATTTTAAGGGGTGTTAGAAAACTCAAAATAATATACACATGAGGTCTATATGTCAGCATTTGGTTAATTTCTATCAAGAAGTAAATTGACTAATAGAACAATGGCTGAATTTAAAAAAAAGCCTATTAATATGAATTATTTTTAAAATGATTTTTTTTTTAAACATAATAGACAAAGAATTGTATAAAAAACAGAAATAATCTGCTCTAAATTCATCCAAATCACTCATTTTACACAAACTTCTTGCAGTTACTGGGTTCACTCTTTGGGTTCTTTGAACAGTTTTGAATATCATATGAAATATCCATTAAATATGTCACTTACTCAGTTTAATAAATCACAGAAAAGGGGTCCCCTTAAGTGAATCACTCCTTCTTCAGCATACACACTGAATCCAGTATTACACTTTAAAGTATATGAATAGTTCTTTTATCAATAAAAAGATAAACATTCAATCGTTTTTATTCCCTTGAATGCACAGTACAAACATAATTAAGGAAAATAAAAAATAAAAAACCTTTCATATAATAATGTGCAGCTGGATTTGACTCAGTTGAATGCAATCAGTCAAATGAATGAAATATCCTTTGTTCGTGTCACATATAAAGTCTAAATTTCGCATCAGCAAACCCAGCCAGGCCCCCATCAGTCACATCTGCTCGTCGAGCTCAAACAGCAAACACTGACACCCTGTGGTCACCCACTTAAAATATACCACCAGTTCCACCAATTTTACCCATCAGAAGTCTGTTTAAATGTTACAGGTATAATTTTGAGGTACTTTACTTGAGTATTTCCATTTTATGCTTCCTTATACTTTACTACTTCACTACATTTTATACCTTTTACTCTTTATTTTAAAACACTAGTGGATTCAGAGTATATGAATGAGTTAAAATTAGCTCCACATTTATCAGCTGCAACATTAAAGTGATGAACACATGAATCCATCAATAGTTATAATCCAATTATATAATATATATTATTCTAAAATGGACCATTGTGCATAATGAGTACTTTAATTTAAGTATATTTTGATGTTAATACAGTTAAATTCAGGCTCCAGGCTACATTAGCTGCTATAAAGACAGCTTTCAAAATAAAACTATAAAATAAAAAGCTGCCAGTTAAACTTCACAAACAGATAATTGGTTTGCTTATGTTTTAATAGTTATTTTTTGTTTTCTGTCTTCCTGAGCTGATTTACCATCATCCATGATTCATTTTATTTCTTCCCAGCTGTGAGCTGCTCCTCCATTTCCATTTTGTACATTGCATTTGGGAGAATAGTGTCCCTCAACATCACACTTAAAATCATGCATTTATTAGTCTATGAAGTTATTAGTCACAAAATGTTTATTTCCTGTTCTGAAATTTGACTCATGTATTTTTTGTATGACTGATTACAGTATATATAATGGGAAGAGCTTCCAGGTCTGTGAAGTGAAGACTTCATGGAAGTGTCTTAAACCTGCATTCTATGTAATGGCCAGCAGGGGGAAAAGCTTCCATATTGGATATCAATAAACAACACATATCACCAAAGCAGATCTTATGGAGAAATAACACCTGACTATCTAACCTTAACTTGCTTCAGATAACCACACAGTATTCCTACATGAATGTTCTATTTAGTCAACACTCTCTAGTTTAAGGTCGTTCTTCCATAACTGATAGGTTCCCCATTTAGCACCGTCAAAAATAGACCATAAACGCAGGGTATGACCTTTTGAGGGGGCTACTTGTGATTGACAGTTCATGCACAAGTCAGTCCGTCCAGCCTCAACGCAACCAAACCTCAGATCCAAACTGTCAAACTAGGCAGTGCTGATCAGATATGGATCCAGATTCTGATTACTGCTTTGCACTCATCCTCCTCTGTTTTAGTAAACTTGTTTCACCATTGTTTCCTTCCTTGGCCTTATGGGAATATTAGACTACATCCTGTAAACCCCTTATAATTAGTTTGTAGTATGGAATCCAGGCACAGTTTGGGTGTTTATTGGTTGCACTATAAAAATGAAATGAAACTGAGACATTCTGTTGTTGATGAACTGGATTTATTGACAATAAAAAGGCTCCATGCAGGTCTTCAGTACTGCAGCAAAGTCTGAAAGATAAAGAGTAAGAAATATAGCCACATAACATTTGGAAATAAACAGACTCCTCTCTTTCATGCTGTTAATGTTTTATTGTGGAACTTGGAACTTTAGATTTAAGAGCATAAATGACATAATGTGATAAGGACTAAAAGTTAAGTGCTTTATTGTGGAAAATATTTCCTGTAGAGTTTCAGAGACTTTCCAGTAACACTTTAAGACGTTTTTATGTTGTTCTTTCTTTAATTTCTCTGCCATCTGTACGTCACACGCAACTGAACTGAACTGAAGGGAACTCACGTCAGCGATCCACTTGGTGAAGGAGGAGGTGCGTGTGAACACTGTGGGCTTCATGAGGGTGTTGCATCCTCTGGAGGAGACGAAGCTGGTCACGCCCTGCACGTACCACCGGTTATCACTACCCAGGCAGTTCAGAGGGCCTCCTGAATCTCCCTGCAGGGACAGACAGAAGAAGAGTGAAGGCATCAGGGCGTTACAGAGTGAACCTGTATCGTGTTGTGATAAGGGGAGCGGTGCGTACGTGGCAGCCAGAGCGGATGTCACCACCAGCACAGATCATTGTGGGCTTCACAGTGCTCCCCCACCAGCTGCTGGTGCTGCAGACGCTGTGGCCAACCACAGGAAGGAGAGCCTGCTGGAGCTTGGAGGCGATGGGACCACCGCCTGCAAGATGGGCGGAAAAATGTATATCTCAGAACACGAAGGGACGCTCATGTTAGTTTCCAAAGTATTTCATCAAAGTTCGCCGTAGTTCTGTCTTTTTTGGATCATTACATTCACATGGTAGCATTTAGATTGGATTGATCAGAATCAAATAGACACTTACTGTACAGTCTTCCCCAGCCGGTGATGTAGCAGGCGCCGTTGTGAGGAATGATCTCTCCGCTCTCTGGCACACAGGAGGGCTGCACCTTGTCGTTCAGAACGACAGGTGAGGCCAGTTTGATCATCGCAATGTCATTACTGAGCAACAAGAAAATCATGTTAGAACATACATTAAACCCAGACACACAATGTAGATTATTTTCTTAAGGGGAAAAGGAAAATTTTTTGACATGAACTGTTGAGTTATAGCCTGTTTATTAGACAAAGTCACCAAAATAAGTCTACCAATAACCAAAACCTTTATAAACCGCAATATATTTTTATATTTTAGAGAGGTGTGTGTTTAGAGTTTGCTGCGGAGTCTTTCTGCTTCCAAATAATATTAAACTATGGTAAATAAAAAAAAACAATAAAATTGGAATAAAATTGGAATCTCAATAATAATAATAATAATAATGATAAAACATGTTGGAAATAAATGAGACATACATTTGCGTGTCATCTGCATAACAGCGACCAAAAAAATAAATTAATGCAGATAAGTAAGTTTGTCTGTGAAATGTCACTGTCCTGTTTCCTGTACAGCTGTAAGGAGGAATCACACTCTTACCCACAGGACAGGCAGTTATCGTCCCAGCCGGGATGAACCACTATCTTCTCGACACTTCGAATCTGCTCATAGCCTTCCTCCTTGGTGAGGTCGTACTCGCCCATCACCACACGGTAGGTACGAGGTCTGACACACATAAACAGACACACACACTTTAGATAAAACCCTTCATCTAACGTCATGAGATAAACCCGGAGGAAAGTAATCCATGACCCACCCGATGCAGTGTCCAGCAGTCACGACCCAGTTGGGACTGAGCAGAGTGCCTCCACAGGTGTGACGGTACGTGGAGCCGCTGAGATACTGCAGAGAAATCTGTGAGACACACCGAGAGAGAGAGAGATGGCTTTAGAGCCAAACATTGCTTATAGGTATTAAGTAACTGTTATTTAATCAATAAAGTTATGAGAGTCTTGATCCTGATCTATTTTGAAAGGAATTTACTTCTTAAAAAGTCAAAATTAGTCAGATGTTTTTATACTATTCTGAATTCCTGTTATAAGCAGCTGTTTTATATATATTGGACTTGAGAGATAAACTGTATTTTCTATCATGGTGTACATGTAGTCTTATATATGTAGTGATACAAAACTGCTTACAAGTAAATCACACACCTGTTCCGTATTGATTGTCTGTTATTCTCTTTTTTTAATTACTCTGTCTGTTTCTGTTATTTTTTTTATTATTAACAGGGTATTGCTGAAAAATAATATAGCAGACCTCCTTATTTATCTGCAACAATAATCTCAAATGGGCATACTTTGGAGTACTTTAGGAGGTACATGAGATTTAAAAATAACATAATTCCTAAAATAATTATACTATATTAAGATAGACAAAATGTAAGTTCGATAAACTGTATTTTATATTCAATAATCTCAGTTTCAGTGCAATCATTAACTGCTATAAAACCTCACAGAAGAAGAAGAAAGCATGCAATCATGTTCACAGTGATGTCGACTGTGAGCAGGAAGCCAGGTTCAATATTAACTGATGAAAATTAAGAAAATGGATTTGTGGTTGAAACATGCCAGCACTTAAAACCAGGGACATATCCAGAGGCAGGGCCTGGTTTGGCATTGGCCAAGTGCCACCCTGTTATCCTTCCCTCTTCCACTCCACGCTGTATTTCAGAGGCTGTAGCGTGCTCTGTTTTAGAGTAGATCCTGGTATCATATGAAATTAAATGACCTAACACATCCATTTTCTGTCATTCTAGCATGTCGGGAAGGGGGCTAAATACATACAATACTTAAAAAAACGCTCCATGGTCATTTTTAAAAAGGATCCCTCTGACCTCAAGATATCTTACCCACAAGTGTCCCCTTTGCACACATGCCCACTTTATACTAATCCTGTGTTGTTTGTTTGCATGTGTGCACAGTGATGGTGCAGCGTGGTTTTGCACCTCTTTACATTGGCTTTTTTAATATAGCAAACATATTTTTTGCGCTGGTCAGAAGTACTTGGCAGAAAAAATATTTCAAACTGGGTACATTATATGGAAGAGTTTGTTGATCTAAAACATATTTAAAGAGACAGCTACATTAAGAGATATGATGGATGAGGTGATAACGATTTGAGAATTGCTACACATTTCACATATTTTTTTATTCTTATCAACTCACCTGCCAGGGCCAGCTGTAGGGAACAGCATCTTCCCCGTTGACAACACGGCCCAGGGGCTTATGGATGGGTGTGCCACACCCGTAAGCTGGGCCACAAAGAGAGAGGGAAGTTTCAAAGGCAGATTCAGCTCAGCTCTGACACTTAAATCATTTTGACCTCAGCACTCCATACTTTTCTCAGTATTTGGGTTTCCTTAATCAATTATAAATGATTTGCAGCAGCTGGTTGCATATTCAAAAGTATTGTAGTGGTCTGAAAGATGTTTGTACTATCACAAAATGATAAAATGCTTTCGTGGTCCTGGGCAGAGAACAAACATCTGCAAGATCCCAAAAACACTTTTAAAGATTTAACTCGCTGCCATATGAAAGGAAGAAAGAACAATTAGAGGCATGATCCATCCATCATGATCAGTGATAGAAAAGAGGTCTCTTAAGGAAAAAGGTTGGGAACCACCGCTTTAGAGCACCAAATGAGGATTAATCCGCTACTGAAAATAGTCCCCAACAAATGCACTATTTCATCCTGTTTGAATGTTTTGCCAGAAACTAGTGACCAAATGTTTTTGTCTTTTCTTTTTTAAATTAAACTACATATTAAAGTTTTTTTAAAGAATTTTTGACTTCAGGAGAAACCCATGAGCTTGGGGCTGAGAGACACAGACAAAGTAGGGAAGTCAGAAAGTACTGAGAGACAAACTAACATGTCAATGTTTTTGTAAAAAGAAAAATACAAAATAACTCTGCTACAGGTAGAGATCCGCGTTTTTTTAAAATAATCTAGATGAGACTCACCATAGGCAGCAAACAGCAGGACAAGACCCACTTTAATCATGATTCCTCAGAGTGGACTGTCCTGAGTGTGTCATATGGCTTTTATACTCTCGAAATTGAACAGTAATCAGACACACAGACACGGCCCAGCCTTTAACCTGGGAATCTACGTTACCTACTGCACCTGTTTCAGCTGTCCTTACATAACCCCCCTCCTCCTAGAGTCAGAACAAATCAGCAAGTGTATTGTTATATATACTAATTTAATGGAGCATTACTTTTGGTACTGGCCCTGAGGGAAAACTTTTCCTTGAAACAATCTTACAACTATATTTGATGTTTTTATAATTAAATACAAGTTTCCATAACTTGAATTAATCTATTTTTTAAGCAATGTACAAACACATTTTCTATTATTTTTGTTCATATCCACGATTTGTTCTTTTTTTGTTAGTACCCACCAATTTATGAGATGTTTTCTTATTTTTTCTCCTCTCTTAGGTCAGAGAATATTTTACAAGTGGTTGTGAAAATTCTTACTAAGATAAGAACGAAACATCTGGTTTTCACGAACACAAGGAAAAATGTGTTTTAAATTTGAACATGAAAAAAGGCTTGAATATCAAATAATTAGATTATATGTTTTATAGTGATTGGATTATGACATTTGCGAGCTAAAGAAATACTATTGCTCCATTTAAAACTATAAAAATCCTTGGATGATATTGATATGGACCTTCAGTCAGCTGCCACCTTATTTAGGTTTTTGTAGTTGAATGAGGAGGTATCCTGTAGATAACTCACAAGTTCATTAATCAACCGTTCCTCGTCCATATGCAGCACTTCCAACGCAAGTGACAGGAATAAATAAAATAACAAAATAACAGGGAGAAACTGTTCAGAAAACAGAATTTTAAGATATTTCACAAACGACGAACTGAAAATCTTGAACAAAGACAACCGTCAGTCCACTGACAACAAAGTGACAGCAAAAGTTGATCAAAGGAAAACTACAGAGAGCACCAAGAGCTTCAAGCTGAATTTATCAGCCAGCAAGCGGACCAATCAACTGCTTTGAACACCGAGGTTGTGGTGTTGAAGGCTCATCTCCAGGGGGCTGAACAGCACATTGTCCGTCAGGAGCAGGTCAGTGAGCTCTCTACCAGGCTGAAGACAGAGACCAAAGCAAACAAGTCTCTGTGGAAACAGGTTGATGATCTCAATAGCAACCAAGAAAAGGAGAGGATGTTGAGACAGGAGCTGACTGAGCAGTTACAGAAATAAAAAGACGGCCATCAGCAACATATTTAGCAGCTGCAACAACGGACCAACACCCTACAGCAAGAAGGGGCCAAAAGAGTCTCACGCTGAAACGGTAAATGCTGATCTGGAGCTGATCCAGGGGCTGAGAGGTGAGCAGGACGCCCTACCTCATGCTTTTCCGCCAAGCTCAGGACTGAGCAGAAGGTCCGTTAGGCCCCCAAGAAAGAAACCATTCAGTTGGAAGAAGAGCTGAAGGAACTGGAGGAGGCGGCCATCACTGTTATACGACAGATCCTTGAAAAGGAGCCTGAAGTCGCTGAGGAACCTCCAAGAGAAGAAAAAGCAACACTCAGTCTGGAAAAGGATCAGCCTTCTTCTCACTCAGCACCTTCCACCATTAGCTGTAAAGTCAATAAATACAATTCAAAATTTAAGTTGTGCTTGTTTAGCTGTATTTTATATTTTCTTTTCTGAAAGTGTAAAAACCTTCAGTTGAGCACAAGTTCATGTTAGTATTTTACCACTCAGTCCTAGAGAGTAAGTGAACTCACAAATCACGAAAATCACGAATTGCTCGTTTTGTACAAACTTTTATTTAGACAGGAAATCTTATTGAGACACATTGTTTTAAAGCCCAAGTTTGGCATTATGGTCGTTTCCATGTTGTTGTTTTTTTTCATAAATTTCAATTTTGTCAATACCAGGTGCATATTTTGTACAAATGTGAAATGATTTTAGTATATAATTTGACTTTGAACGGATGTAGACATTGTTACTTTTGACTCTGTCAGTTGGAAAGAAAGTAACACTTGGGTGGGTCAAAAAGTGAAATTATTTTGTGTGTGTGTGTGTGTGTGTGTACTGTTTTATACAAAGAAATCATTATCAATGACTTAAAAACACATGGAATCCAGTATCAAAGTCCTGTGCTTTGATACTGGATTCCACCCTGACCTCCTGAATTGGAAAAACATTCAATAGTCAATATTAGCAAAGCAAAACTGTTTGAACAAAGGTTATTTCTAATAATCTCTGTAATTGATTTAAACAACTTAACCTATTGGCTGTGAACATGTATTCCTTTAGAACGTGTTATTATAATGCAACGTGCACTGTTCACTCCCACTGGGCAGTCCATTTTACTACTACTACACTAAATATGTTTTACCCAAGACTAGCAGTGATTCCTGACATTAATAAAATGTTACTTATCTGTTATCTCTTGCAGAGCCCTGCACAGTGGAAAAAAGAAGTCATAAAGCAGATATATGATATGCCAGGAAGACGACATGATGGCGTAGTGAGCATGCTTCAGACATGTATTGAAGGCGTGATGCCGCTGCCCACCTGCCATGAGCTGACTGAACAAACATGTAAATAATTAACAAGACTACATAGTAATTACATTTGCTAACTGATCTTCTGTGTCTACTTCAGTGCTGTCAACCGTGACAGTTTTTAATAAAATCTATATGTTCACTCACTGTCTGTTTTCCTCATCCACAATTGTGAGCAGATTATTTCCTGTTTAAGGAACTTTTTATACAATTCTGTCCAGCCTAAATTGTGGTGTTCCCCAAAGTTAAATTTTAGGCCCTACCCTTTTTAACCTTCACATGCTGCTACGTGGAAACATCATCAGGAGGTACAGCATCAATATTCATAGCTATGCTGATGACACAGAGCTTTACATAGCTGCATCTCCTGATGACTCAGGGCCGCCGTAGTTTCTCCTCTCCATAATACAGAGAGAATTTTTATTAAAAAGTTTTGGTAAACTCATCTCTGATAATAATATTCAAAATTCATCCAAATTGCTCAGTTCTTTGTTGTTGTTCTGTACTGTTATTGTTATGCATTGAAAAAATATGAAATATGTCTGTCATTCAGGGGTCGACAGTTTACTCAATGATAGAAAAGGCGTCTTGAAAGGGAAAAAAAGGAAATACACACTGCTTTATGGGTTGAAAATTAAATTAAATGGAAAACGCATTGAATTAGTTCTTATTAGAGGAATTAAAAAGGCTCTTTGCAGGATCAATAAGTAATTTAAACAATTTGCAGTAAACAAAATGAAAGAAAAGAACAACAGGACAACCATGTAAATCAGGTTTTGGTATTATTCCCAAAAGTCTGTGTCCTTGACATTTCTGTCAGGGAAATCTGCCCAGCTGGAGCAGGTGGAAAGAACGAAGGCGTGCCAAGACCTCCTCTAGCTTGGCAGGAGGAGCCAAAACACACAGCCTGTGAGGGAAAACACACAAAGCACTGCATCAATACACATACCTATAGACACACCTATGCTTAAAGTGGGAATAATTGACTTAATTCAACAGGTATTCCACCTTGACTAGTCCTCAGGCAGGAGTACATCCTGTATCACCCACATTTCCTGAATTACATAACATTTATGATAATACCTTATAGTATTGGGAAAATGTCTGAAGATTTTGAAATAAAACTATTCATTAGATATTTCTATTCAATGCCACAATAATGTAATGTTTTTGAGTTTAAATATCAAGCTAATATTGATACATGTGATGATTTGCAATTAAATCAGCATATATTCTGCCACCCTTTAAACTGCCCTGACTTTAAAAAAGCATTCACTTTCCAGAAATATCCTCTTTTCTAAAATTTTTCTCCTCCTTTCCTTGAATGCCGTCATGTTCCAAAAGATCCAGATTTTCCCAAAACCTATCACAAAAAGTGATTACTTTCTGCACACAGCTGTTTGTCGTACCTAATGTGGTAGTTTTGATCCTCTTGTCCGTTCTCACAGCCCGATCCCAAACACACACCTTCCTTTTCCAGAAACCTCTGACAGTAAAGCACATCTGCTTCCACTCCCAACATCTGAAATGAATAACAGAAACTTGTATCAACTGTTCATGACTTAACAGCAGCTGAGAGTATGGAGTTCTGAAAATGTTTTCCCGATCAAATTACTGCTAAAATCATAGCTTTGTGATAACCTCAGTCAGGATGTTTTTACTAAGTGTTTTTATTCAACTTTATTTTTTTTCAATCCATATTTTATAAAGATATATTTACATGT